TTGCTCTTCTTTCTGAGGGGCCCAAAGTCCCTTCACTCATCCCAAGTTTCTCTATTGAATAGATTTCCTCTGGGTAACCAATAGTTAAGGAATTCTTTCTGTCTGTCTGTCTGAATTTGGGGATTAGGTGAGGGGTAACCGGGGATTGAACCCAGGGGCACTTAACCACTGAGCCACATCCCCAGGCCCTTTTTATATTTTATTTAGAGACAGGGTCTCACTAAGTTGCTGAAGTCCTCAAAAGTTGCTGAGGCTGGCTTTGAACCCGAGAGCCTCCTGCCCCAGCCTCCCGAGGTGCTAGGAAGGGAGTTCTTTATCTGTCCTCTCTCCTCCCCACCTTCTCCTACATGAAAAACCCTAATTAACTAACTGATGGGAACCCAGCTTCCTCTCTGTCGTGCTTTTCCTTCTCTCTCACCAGGTCCTCCTTCTGTTCCAGCTCTCTTTCGTGTATCAGTTTAGAAACTGACACACACCAAGGGGAAGGTGACACACGTCCTCCTCCTCGCCCCTTGCACCCTCGGTGTCCGGTTTCCAGCTTGTTTGGAGGCTGTGATGTCAGGAACGCCTTGGCACATTTCCACTGTACTACTAAAGTGGAAATGATGGTCCCTGTGCCACAGTGCCTTTCTCTCCTTGCCTTGTTCTCCCTTGAAAAATAACCACGTTGGTGCCTCTTCATCTCCTCTCCTACCCACTCTGCAAACCAAACCCCACATACGTGCACTGAGCTCCTGGGATGCCTTCCTCAGTGTCACTCCACCTGGGGGGCCGCATCTCTTCTTCCTCCAACTCCACGGCCAAATGTCTCTTTATTTACAAGTCACATTATTTGTAACCAAGTCAAGTCATTTTTTTGTTGTTGTTGTTGCTGTTGTTCAGAAAGAAAGGATCACATCCAAAACTTTTTTCCAGATTTTTCCAAGTGGTTGGACTAAAGGTTTTCTAAACTCCCTTTCATCATTTCCTTCTTCTTCAAGTTTATCCAAGGTAGACCCTAATCACATTCTAAATCAAGAAGGTTTGGAATTAATAACCATTTGGCACCCCATGACTGGTTAATGGAGTTGGAAACCGGACTTTGCCGTTAACTCAGTGCGAGCATCTCCCCGTGACCCGGAGACCTGTTTGCTGTTTAATGACATCAGGAGTGCCGAACGCTGTCTTCTAAATGGCCGACTGACCAGAGTGTCTCCATGGCAGCATCTGGCTGACTTGTGCCAGCTACTCCAGAGAGAGGGAGCAGGAGTGTGTGGACAGATCAGCCAGCTCTGCATCTCCACCCAGGGGCCAGTTCAAAGCCCCAGTGATGGTGGGTGGCACATTGACAAAGGTTGAGAGATAGCATCTTCTACTGATGCAAGAACTCCAAAATAAGAAAGCCAGAGAGTGATCAGAAGGCGTCAGGGACAAGGGCGCAAGAACGTTTAAAGAAGCCCAGTGAGAAATATTGTTCCTAATGAGCGTCCTCTAGATTTCTTATGTTTATTTTCTGTTTTCCATCTCCTCCTCCTCCTGCTTTTCTGCCACATGCATCCGTGTATGTGGGGGACCTCCCACAAAGCCCTTTACCTGCCTCTGTTGTACTTTCCCTTATGCTTTCGCTGTCCTTCCCCAAGTCTTTCTGGGGTCATTAGTATTGACTTCGGGTATTGATCATGGTCGTCTCCTTCATTGCCTGCCTGGCCTTTTCTTTGTTCTGTGCCTCCTGAGCAGACTTTGTTCATCCTGTGATCTGTGCATCCCAGGAAGCACATATTCTTGGGGACAGGGAGCCTCCTTGGCCGGTGCTACAAAAGAAATATGAACATGCCTTCATATTCCCCTCCCTGTCACCCCCCCTTTCAATGTATTAATTAGGTTTCAAGCCAAGCAACCCCAGTTTGATTTGGTTCAGCAAAAAAATAAAGCCTATATAGATCCTTGGAATATACTGCTGCAGATTGAACTCTGGGATGGATGGCCATGCAACAAAGCTCGAAAGAGTCAGAGCCAGGGCTTTTAGCACCTCTGAGAGTCCTTCTTCACCGCTGCTCTTTCTCCACTTTCCACACAGCCTCAGTCTATTTCACTACAGATGTGTGGTAGGAAATGTGACCATCTCTAGCTCCTGTCTTTGTGACGGTATAGCTTCCACTGCTGAAGCCGGAAAAAGAGAACATTGACCCCACTTGGGGCAGGCATCTGTTTCTGAGCAAATCAACCAGGGCCAGGAGCAGAGCTTACAAATGGGTCCATGGCAGCCCCTAAATTTTCCCTGTGTGCACATCATGGTGCAGCTTTCAGTGGATGAGTAGAACCAAGCTAAAGCCCAGAAGTACCTTTGGTGCCTGCTCATCCATATCTTGTTTCTTGGCGTGGGTGGCTCCAACATCCTGCCTTGGACCACAATTTCTTGAACCAAGATCACCATTAAATCTCACCACCTGTATTAGTCAGGGTTCTCTAGAGGAACAGAATCAACAGGCAGTATAATTATAAAATGGGGATTTGTTAGGATGGCTTACACAACCAGAAGCTGGAAAGTCCCCAATAGCCATCTGTACTCTGGAGAGCTGGACCAACCAGTAGCTGCACAACAGTCCAAGGGGCTGAAGCTCCAGAACAAGAAGGATCAACAGTGCTACCCTAGTCCAAGACCAAAGGCTTCTGGAGAATCACTGGCAGAGTCCACTTTGGAAGAGTGAAGAAGCCAGAGTCCCATAGCCTCAGACCATCACAGCATCAATCAAGAACTCATTCAAGAAGAATTAAGGGCTGGGGATATAGTTCAGTTGGTTGAGTGCTTGCCTTGCATGCACAAGGCCCTGGGTTCAATCCCCAGCACCACAAAAAAAAAGAAGAATTGAGCTTGCATCTGCTGCTGTCTTTGTTCTTCCAACTTTTATTCCATCCAAGTCATCATCCTATTGGACGGAGCTGCCCATACTTAGGGTGGGTCTCCATTTCAGTTGGCTATCCCACATGCCAATCATTGCTAGACACACCCATAAGCCTCTTAATCCAATCAAGTTGACAATTCAGATTAACCATCACACCACCCCTTCTCCATCCAGTTCTCTAAAGATACTCCCAAATTTCTCCAAAAGAGACCTGGTTGGAAGCCAGTGTGTCACTGTGGTTTGAGTCACCAGGCAGCACTTCCCACTTCAATAGTTGCTCTCTGGCCTTTTAAAATTCAATGAGAAACACTGAAGAGCCTATATAAGACTTTCAGGACACATGATCTACCTCTCCTGGAATGGTGCTTTCAATCATATATGTGACGATTATAGAGGACTTCAAGATTACTTTGAAATGCTTTCCTATTTTTTTTTTACCTGTCAACAAGGCTATTATATAATATATGGTAAACTTGATAAAAGTAATTTGATGTCTTAACCAAGAACTAAATCTAAGGTCTTCCAACCTGGACCAGTACTCCAGCAGGGGATGGCCTCCTCCGTAACTTGTAAGTAATTAGATAAAAGAGGTTCTATCTTCAATTATCAAGAATACAAACAACAATAAATGTTGGTGAGGATGTGGGGGGAAAGGTACACTCGTACATTGCTGGTGGGTCTGCAAAGTGGTGCAACCATTATGAAAGCAGTATAAGATTTCTCAGAAAACTTGGAATGGAACCGCCATTTGATCCGGCTATCCGACTCCTTGCTTAATACCCTACCCAAAGGACTTAAAATCATAATACTACAGTGACACAGTCACATCAATGTCTATAGCAGCTGAACTCAAAATAGGTAAACTATATAACCAAATAAGTGCCCTTCAGCAGATGAATGGATAAAGAAAATGTGATATATAAACCAAGATCCAGACACAGAATCTGAGAAATGAGGTTTCAATAGAAGTAATGGAAGTCTCAGGATGATGATTTTGCTTCAGGTCTATGGAGACAACAGTCCATGTTGGGGAAAGAGAGCTACAGACTGTGGAGAAGAGGACTTCCAGGAGATAGGGGAGAAGATCTCTAGGGAATAGAAAGAGAACTGATTAATTATCTCATATGTATAAAACGTGAAAAAGCTTTTGCTAAGGGTTTTACAGGTTTGTTCAAGACACTTGGAAAGCAGTAGTTAGCTACTGGGCTGAGCAACAATTTTATCCAGTTTAATAATGTGGACACTGACCACTGGTTTAACAAAAATAGTTATACAAGTCTGTTTGGAAGAACACTGAAGGGTGGGCAGTGGTGGGCTGGGAGACTAGTGAGTAGGAAGTTAAATCCTTGTCTAGAATTGACAAATTGAGAACAGCTACAAAAGCACATAATGTTAAAATAGACAAGAAGAAGGAACAGAAGATAGAACGTAGATGAAGAAGAGATAAGAGAAAACAATAACTGATTTTTAGGGGATACCGAGAACCATTTAATACTACTTGATTGTTTTACATTATATATTATATATATATATATATATATATATATATATATAGGTGTGTGTGTGTGTATATATATATATATATATATATGGTTGTAATTATAGCTAGAAAAATGAAATGGCTTTTTGGGAAAATGCTTATGTGAACTCCTTGCGGTATGCCAGGATTTAAAAGACTTTCCCATAAGAAAGTCCCCTGTTTGTGAATGCTGGGTCCGCCACCTGGCAGAACCATACATAGTGTCTTCTGTGATCTCCTGATGCCTTGAGACCTGTGGTCTTTGCAGAAAGGCAATTCAAGCAGGTTTGGACCAATGCATCCGTAAGGCTAGCACAAGCAAAGCAAGATGGTGCGCTAAGCTGCAGGTAAACCAGGACGGGGGGCGGGGGAGGTCTTAAAATTCATCTGTATACTATGACTGCAGCCATAAGATGCAGAGCTGATGTTCATAACAGGAAGGGAACGAGGACTAGTGAAAGCAGTTTGGTTGGTCAGAAGTGGGAGTAGAAACATTCTTTTTTAATTTAGAGTCATAGGAAGACTGCTCTCCTATTTGTGGGAAACAGAGTTGCCATTTTTCCGGGAAGTCAGTGCCTTTCTGTGCTTCCCTCCTGCAGCTTAATTGCTTACACGGAACAGTATGTGGAATATGATCCTTTCGTAACGCCCGCAGAGCCATCTAATCCCTGGATCAGTGATGACATCGCCTTATGGGACATAGAGATGAGGTAAAAAATGTTTTAAGGTTTGGAAGCGGGAGGGTTGCAGGGGGAAAAAAACTATGAGATCACATTACTCCCTATCTTCATCTGACGCGTTTTATTGCTAACACAGGAACCTTGCCAGGAATCCCCAACTGAGTTCTGCTTGTTCCATCTTTCTATCTCCTTAGAGCTTTGATTTGTAGGTGGGTCCTTGTGGCTTCCCTCTGACCTCTCTCTGACCCTTTGTGCATTGCAATAACTGGGCAGTCACTCACTTTTTCCTATTAAAAAAAAGAAATCTGTGTTTTCTTCTTAGCAGGCAGTAGCAGTGTTCGCTGGCACTCACTTAGCTCTATACTGGCCATATCACACAGTAGATGTCTTCAATTCTCTCAGCACATAAACATTATTAAGCATTATTATTCTTTCCATGGAACTGATGAGGAAACTCAGGCACAGCAAAGTTCATGAACTTGTCCAAGGTCACACAGCTAGTATGTGGCAGTTAGGACTGCAACCCAGGCAGAGGGTTCCAGGGCTGTGAATGTCATCACTCTGCTCTTCTAGAAATCCTGGCAGCAGTAATTCCATCACCCAGGCGCTCCTGCCCTGTGAGGGGAACAGGTGTAGCTACTTAATCGCTGATCAAGGGAAGCCCAGAGGGTCTTGGACCACTTCCAAAATTACAGGAGGCGCATAAACAATTCTGCGCTCTGTGCCGTCACAACCTCTGCCCCCTAACTGGATGACATTTCTTTTCTCATTTTTCTGTCACACTCACGTTCTCTTTCACTTTTTTATTTTTTTCTGGCATCTTCTCTTGAAATGGAGAAACCTTCTAAAAATTAGTAAAAGTCATAAATGCTTATTATGAAAAGTTTAAAAAGCAATCCATACGTGCCTAAGGAAGAAAATCCTCTCTCCCTCTCGCCCAATATCATTTTCTAGGAAGAACCCCTGTTTATAGTCTGACGCCCTAGTTTCCAAGCTGCAGGGGGGAACTAGGGCTACCATGGACTAAATGGTTGATGGGAAGAGCAATGTCTGTCAGCTGTCAGAGACGGTGTAAGCTACAGGCTTAGGGTGGCTCCCTGTCAACCACAGAGCGTATTCCATCCTTCTCAATTATGTCACCTTTTGCAAATCTAGATTGTTCAGAGCAGTTTCTGGGATAAAAAGTTAATGCGGTATAAAAATCGACCTGGGAGAAGAAAAGAGAGTGGTAGAATCCAATCTGATTCCAAAGTTTGAGAAAATGTGCAGTTCCCAGGAGGTTTACATTGTGACTGGCTATTTATAGCCAGGCAAGGTGACGCATGTCTGTTATCCCAGCCACTTGGGAGGCTGAGGCAGGAGGATCATGAGTTCAAAGCCAGACTCAGCAAAAGTGAGAGACTAAGCAACTCTATCATCTGCTGATAGTACACATATAGAGCACAATTTTTCATATCTCTGGTTGTATACATAGTATATTCACACCAATTCGTCTCTTCATACCTGTACTTTGGATAGTTACGATCATCACATTCCAGCATCATTAATTACCCCCTGCCCCCTCCCTTCCCCTCCCACCCCTCTGCCCTATCTAGAGTTTGTCTATTTCTCCCATGATGCCAACTTTTTTTATAGCTCTATTAAAGAAAATGTTACTTTGAAATATTTTAATTAAAAATGTCACTAAAATAAAAACACATAGAGTGAAATATGTAAAATTAAAAGCAGAAACTTTTAATTCACCTCTTCCACATCCCATTCTTTTCCAGATGTACATGAACTTGATAGATTTTCGAACTGCTATCGTATGTCAATGAGCATCTCTTTTTATTTATATTTCTACATGATTCAGGTAGTTTCTTTCATTCTGATTCAAAAACTTACAGCTCTCTTGAACTCAGGGTCTTTTGTCTTTCTCCTTTTTTTTTAATTGTTTAATCACACCTTCTCTTTTTTTCCATTCTACCCTCTCTTTTCAGGAAATCCTTTGGTAGGAATCCTTGACTTCCAGAATGGAGCTGCCATCTCTCTTATCTTTTCCCAATCTTAATTTCCATCTCTTAGTCTTTTTATTTTATACTCAAAGGAGAGAACCTCTGGAATTGCTGCTCTTCAGAGTCCCCAGTGTGGATTTCGGTGGTGTCCATTCTGTGATTTTTTTGCTTTGGTGAGTTTTTTCTTTTCCCACTGAGAATTGGGAGGGGTGGCAACAATCACGCTTTCCGTCCTGATGGTGCTGGCTGGGTTTTGTTCTTAGCAGCCTGCTCTGCTCTCTTCATGTCTATCCCCCTGAATCCCCTGGAGAGCATGATACAGATTTTATTTCTCTTATTTTGTATTTAAATATCTCCATTCCATTTCTGCCCCCTTATCTGGGTCCCTGGCCATCACTAATCAGAGGATCATTGTTTTGTAGCTCCCATCACTGCTCGGAGCAGAAGATTCCTTGCACATCCCAGTGACTTGAGGGACCATTCACTTTCATAAATGAAGGTCTTTGCTATTTATTTTTTCTTTTAATACCCCAACATAGTCTTGGGTTAGGAAACAATATCAATAGGTGCTGAGAGCTCACTCAGCAACTATGCAAGTCAATGGTTCTCAAACTGTGAACATTAAAAATACACATGCAAAAAAAAAAAATGCCCTGGAGAGGCTCTGGACATCTAAAAATTTTTTCCCCTTCTGGTACAGGGGATTGAACCCAGGGCCTCTCATAGGCTAGACAGGTACTTTACCACAGAGCTCCATGCCCCGCCCTTGGCACCTGCTTCTTCGGCAAGCACTGGAGGAGATTCTGGGACACACCATGGTTTGGGGACTCCTGGTGTGGTTCCCTGAGTTGGCCCTGGCTGCTTTCCTCTGAGCAGTTCCTGCCACTATAGGGATGCCTCCCCCCGCCCCCACACCCCCATGTGTATCAGTGGGAGGGCTCGGGTATATTGTCAGGGACCCCTCTGAATGCAGAGCAGCCTGAGACTGGATCCTCTCTCAGAGCTCTAAGACCCAGCTGTGGGGTCCTTGGGAGACAGAGCCCCACCTTCTTTAGCAGAACAAGTGCTCTGCCCTGAGTCAAGTCCAGATGGAGGTTCTACTGCCCCTCAGCTCCATCCTCGGGTGCTCGCCAAGAAGTCCACTCTTCTCCCTCTGTGATGGGTCCTGGGGGAGCCCAGTCAGATCTGCTGAAGCAGCTAGAGGTAGCAGGAAAGCTGGGGTGTCTTTAGAGGTCTCTGCGCTGCTGAGATGATTTTTCGCTGTGTACTTGCTGTATGTTAGCAGAGGCACTGCCCTGGTCTTCTTGCTTGTGTTGGAAACTGAACAAAAAGCACCCCCCTTTACTTATCAAACCCCTTCTTCCATGTGGCGCTTATTCTGTGCTGAGTTTCTTCCATATGTCCCCTGTCTAATGCCCAGCCGTGGCCTCTATTTCCAGTCCTGCAGCCAGAGCTTGGCATTTTCCCAGACTTCCTTTGGGAAGGGCTTTGGACATGCTAGGCAAGCACTGTGCCACTGAGCTCTGTCCCCAGCCCCTTCCCAGCTACTGTCTTTGATGACTCTACTGGCATCATAGACTGTTCTTGATCAGCTTTGTCATGCATGAATTTGATCCATCTGCTTTATACCTTTTCTGAAATTCCTCAAACTTATCATCTGCTGATAGGAACTATTTATTTCTACATACTATGGGGGGGTTGTTTGTTTGTTTTTGTTTTATAAATACTGAACTTCATTGAACTTCAGAGTCTTACGGTTCCCCTCCTGGACCATTCTTCCCCTGGGCTGGCTTTCCTTCTCATTCACATCTCCTTGTCATTGGTGTCCCTTCCTCAGGGAAACTTTCTGTGACTGCCCAGTTTAAAGTGGCTGCTCATTCCCCCAGTGAGTTGGCGGGGGGTGCATGGGGAAAGGATGTAATATTCAACAACTCATCAAAGTATAAAACCACTTGCAATTAATTTAGCATCTGAACCTCTATCTGGCACTTAGTAGGCACTTAAAAGTGCAGGTTGGATGGATATGGGTAAGTGAGTGATTCTTCCTTTGGTCATTCATTGGTATTCAGAAAAGAAGGAGAACTAAATGCTAATTCACCATGATAAAATGAATTTCCTCCTTTGTTCTTAAGTCAGCAAAGCAGCATGCAATACTTTAGGGCAATGATGGTCACCTGGCTACTTGGTTGATCCCAACCTATTGGGCACTTTACCCCCAGGGGGGCTGCCTGCCCTTATGAGCCCCTTCTGCTCTTGGTGTTCAGCCTCTAATTTAATATCTAGCCTAAGACAGCTGCAGGTCCTGTCCACCTATAAGCAGAATCTAGATGCAAGCAAAAAATGTAGTCCTGATTCTTGTCCCCACTCGGGCGCTGGCAGTGGTGCTGGTGGAAAGATGGAGTGTGGGCCCAGTGCCAACATCACACTTCAGCCTCAGGATGGCCCCCGCCCATGAAGGAAAAGCTGAAAATGACTAATAAAACCATCAAAAGGCAATTTTTTCCCTCTCAGTTTAATGCAACACATAGGTACCGAAACCTACTCTGTGCTGTGTTCTTTGTGTTCAGAACACAAAGGTAGCAAGGTAAATAAAACCTGCTCTCCTCCACCTGGCACTAGAATTCCTCCTCGCTTGGCAAAGGCATTAAGCCACCAGGGGGCAGGAAATCGTCCCTGAGAGTACGATTCAAATAACAAAGGGAGACCGAGTGCTGTGCCAAGGGAGAAAATGAGACAGGCGCATCTTCTGTTCCTGGGGGAGGGAGAAGCCGGAATGATGATAGAAACCAGGTCTCTGTGCAAGGCCAGGACTATTCCAGCATCCAGTGACCAAGGGCTTTGCAAAACCAGGAGTGTCGAGTATGTGACTTTTTAAACTGTCAGCTGCCAGAAGTGTGATGTGTGGCCCCTTTTTAAGACCCAGGAATTTCAGTAAAGACCCCCCCACACCCTCCCAGACACTGTGGGTGAAGAAGGGCGCTGGTGGACGTGGGTCCAGGTGTGTGAACGAGGAGAGGCAGCGGGGGGACAACAACTCCACTGGGAATCCGGGTTCATCTGAGCTGGGCTTGAGCTGTTCCTGAGCTGCAGAAGGTCCAGATAGACTCACTGCAACATCCAGGGCCTGGGACAGAAGACAATGTCTGAATTCTACAGAGGTGAAGGACACACTGTCTCTGCTTAGGGAAGCTTACAGTCGGCACAGCAAAGGACAAAAACCACAGTTCAAAAGAAGAACAGACAAAATAGTGCAGGATGTAATATAAATAAGAGGACATTGTTCTCGGATCCCTTCTCAGAGAGGCTATTGGATCCAAGAGTCCAAGAATAAGAAAGCAGATATTCAGAGGGAATACAAGGCTATCTTTTGCTTTGATTGAACCTAGGAGTGCTTTACCACTAAGCTACCTTTCCAGTCCTTTTTTATTTTTTATCTTGAGACAGGGTCTTGCTAAATTGCTGAGGCTGGCCTCAAACTTGCAATCCTCCTGCCTCAGCCTCCCAAGTTACTGGGATTATAGGCAGCAACCACCATGCCCAGCAAGAAGATCATTTTAAAGCACTAGCAAATTATACCTTAAGTCTATCCAAAGGAAACTCTGGGAAATAAAGTCTAATTAAAGAAAATAGTGATAGCAAGAGCTTATCATTGAGGAAAGATAGGCCAAAAGTTGGCAGATGGCAGCTGGAGAGAATTTTTCAGTCTAAACATCACCAGAAGAGCATCCTGGGAAGGCCTCTGGGAAGTGTTTTGGGTAGTGCCATTAACCAGATGGTGGGTCTAATGAAAACCTGGTGTTGCCAGCAGAATTGTGGTTTGCAATTTGCTCTCTGCAATTGACAGTTTTCACTCTCCCTCTCTGCTGGGCATCAAGCACTTCAGTAGAGGGCTTCAAGGAGCTGGCTTGTCTAGCTTGGCCAGAGGCTTCCACTCCCAGCCAGCCTGACCCACTGAGAGGCAGAGATCATCCCAAAGCTGCCCGGGCACAATGAGTTTGGCAGAACTATTAATCCAGGATATTAGTCAAGCCCCTTTCTATGGTAGTCAGTCCCCGAAAATGGCCCCATCAGTGACTCCCTCTTTGTATGCATGTGCTCCCCCTTATATTAAGGGGTCCCCTCCTTCTCTTTTCATCTGGACTGATCCTGGTATCTTATTCAACCAAGACTGCAGCAGAAGGGACATTCTAAGAACCTTATGACTTCTACTCTGGACATGTGAAATATTTGCTCTGGAGACATTGCTTCTTGGAACCCATCTGCCATGTTATGAAAAGCCATTGGGGAGGCCATGTGTAGATGTTCCACTCAACAGCCTGAGCTGAGCTCTCCACCAGAAACCCATATCAACTGCCAAGTGTTGAGCCCTTTGGAGGTCCAGCCTAGGCCAACCTTCAGATGACCCCTTCCAACTTCTGACTACATCTATATGAAAGACCATAAATCAGGATTTCCCCGTAGAGCCCAGTCAACCTGGGATAGTGAGAGCAAGTCATAAATTACTGTTCTAAAAGCTTCTGGGTTTCAGGATAGGGTTTTTTGTTTTTTTTCATAGGAATAGATAACTGGACCACTCCCCATTGAAGTATTCAGGCCCCTCGGGTTGTACTTGGAGTATTAATAAAATTGTGATTGTTTCTTCATAGTATTGGCCTCAGATGGGGGTATTGTATATTTTTTTCTTGAAGAATTATTTCTTATTTCATAATTTTTCTAATAACTTATCTTAATCCGTTCAGACTGGTATATCAAAAGTATACCGATGTGTGTAGTTTATATGCAAAAGAAATGTATTTCTCAGTTCTGGGATCTGGGAAGTCTCGCATCAAGACAACAGCCAGTTTGGTGTCTGGTGAGGGCCCACTTCCGAGTTTGTAGATGGCAATCTTCTCACCAGGACTCCATATAGCAGAGAGCTCTCTGTGGTTTCTTTGACAAGGATGCTTGTCCCATTTCTCATGACCTAATTACCTCCCAAATCCTCCCCCTCTTAATACCATCATACTAGGGATCAGGGTTTCAATAAATGAATTTTGGAGTTACACAAAATTCAACCTAAAACACTCCTGACCACCCCCACCCGCCCCCCCGTTGATAAACTCCAGCACACAAAATACATTTATCCCATCTCAACAGCCCCCCAAAGTCTTGTTCTAATATCAACTCTAAGATT